GAAGAGTTTAAAAATCAGCAAAAAGTGTTTTTGATTAATATTATTCACTTTAGACTTTAGTCTTGTGCAAAGATTACTATCAGCATCATGCATGTCTCCTTTTGACAGAAGATAAGCAGGATACAGCCTAAGGCATACCTAAAGTGTGCATTAATAATGAAATGGGACTGTGGGTACAGCTACAACTAGAAAAACCTTGATGTAATTGTCCATACAGTTGAGTGCAGATTTTTTTGAGCATGGTGCTTTGCTGATGTTTACATGCACTCCTGAGTATTAGTGAAACTACTCGGTCAGACTCTTGATGCAACTGAAAGGATGACCTCATCAAGACTATTTTGTAATGGTGTGTTTCCAGTGCACACAAATGCTTGTATACATGGGTGAACTCCCGCATGAAGCAAATTGTGAAGAAATCACAAGGCCAGTCAGATTGCTTCTTGGTGATGTTTTATCAATAAAGACAGGTACATCAGCAATAGATAGAAGGTGACAAATAAACCAAAAGCTGCAACAAATGCCACAACATGTATAGTGCTTGTACACAATTCTCTCTCTCTGTCTCTCTCTCTCTCTCTCTCTCTCTCTCTCTGCCCCTGATCCCAAGCAGTAGAAAAGTATCCCTAATGTATTGGCATGACTTCTAAAACAAAGCCAGTAATTTCAGGCTGCAATCCTATGTGAATTTACTTGCAAACAAGCCCTAGTGAACTCAGTGGGACTTCTGAATTGGCATGTCTACTGTTGCACTGTCAGAATCATAAATTCCAAAACATGCTTAATTATTATTTATTCTTTTACCGTCTCAAAACAAATTATAGGTTTTTAGCCATCATTGTTCACAGCACTGTTCCGAATGGGATTCCCTATTATTGACTTGTATCAATGTTTGATGTTCTTGAGACAAAAAGCTGTACCTGAGTCCTTGTTTTAAGGGTGCTGCAAATTTCTCAGGGAAAGGGAGTCGTCATAATCTTGTGAGCATGACTAGCAAAACTCTTTCTTGTGTTCCAGCATATGCTGGATGTAATTAGGCAACTGCCCAAGGGGGGGAGCTTGTAAACATTCTGAATCCGTGCCACATTCTTCTAGCATCTGATGCTGCCAAATGCCTAAATGAGTGTTCCAGCCAAATGGCCTAATGTATAAAATAGATCCCTGAACAGAATGCTTTCTGGTATACGATACAAATAGGGGATGGATGAACCTGGGGGCCAAATGCTTGTTTTCAGAATGCCGTGTTCCGGCAGCCTACCTTTTTTCCGCCTCTTTTTTCAGCAGAGATATGATGGGAGAGTCATGTGGATTATCAGTCTTCGTTGTCTATCCTTGAGCTATAAGGGGGTTTGCTGTGCTAGTTTCATGTGAGGAGAAGTGAAAAGGGCATCCCAAATATCCTCTAAAGATGAGGCAAAATTCTCTGACAGAAGCTTGGGAAAGAAAACTCTCCTGGGAAATTTTGATGCCGTTAATACAGAATTACACTAGATTGTTAGCTCATACTGAGAGTTGAAGAAAGCAATGGACTAAGAGAGGAGTTCCTGAAGGAGTGGGGGCTAAGCCCTGTGCTCCCCTCAACAATATTAACATTGTATTAAACAATATTTAGACTAGAACAGCACTCAGAAATGGCCATCCTCTGTGCACAGGCCACAGCGGAGGAATTTCATCAAGTATTCTTCACAGCAACCCTGAAATTATGGCAGTCATGTGGGGGGAGTCTGAAAGAAAACATGATCAGAAAATTACCAGAAACTTATTTTCTGAGTATTCTCATCCCAACTGTCATGGCACAAACGCCAGAGTGTTTATCGCTAACCAAGGGGTCCAGTCTGATGCATGTCTAAACAGGAAAAAATGGCCTACATCTGCCAGCATGCCTGGATACGCTGGTGTTGTAGGCCTTTTTTGCCCAAGGAAATGCAAGATTGCATGTTTAATAACATACATATGGACTCCAGCTGACAATTTTTGTTCCCAGTCTGCTAACACAAATAGTGAGGAAGTGGGGAGAACCTTTTCATGTTTTTGCCTCCACAATGCAAACATAGGTCTGCCTTTTCAGGGAAAACTCCACTGATTTCAATGGGGTGTGCAAACAAGTACCTATATTTAGGATTGCTACCTCATATTGAATTTGCATGACACTACACGAAACTGAGTAACTAGCCACAGGGGGTCCATATCATGTGACTCCTACAGGAAAGTTTGTTAGTAGGCAACAAGCCATCCCGACAACCCGTGGCTTATTCTTGGGCTTGTTGCACCCAATGGGTTGTCATGTTGTCTGAACCTGGGTGAGCAATTGCATCCTGGGTACAGGGGAGCAGGGACTGAGCCGGTTGGCAAGAGCAGCAAACCCCACCTTCCTGTGGCTTGCTGATGTCACCACCAGTGAGAGTCAACTCACTGCTGCCAAGTGGCACAGCGGAGCAGTTGTCACTGCTCAGAGTTCCCCGCTGCTCCTTTCTGCTTTTACCCTCCTGCTTTTTCCCTTTCCCTTTTTTTAGATAGCCCTTTGCAGTCCTGGAGGTGTCACCACTGTTGGCCTTCCAGAATGCTTAAGTGGCACATTAGAAGGGTCATTGCTGATTCAGCCCTCTTTTTTAAGTTTAAGAAATTTGCACAGATATTTTCATTTTTTCTTTAATAGTTGATCCTGTACATGTGGTGAGGTGTATTCGTGTAAATAGGCTTACTTTTTACATTGTGCTCTATTGACAGGTGTCAAAAGGCAGGGATCTCTGCTCATTAAAAACACCCTTTTTGCAGTGAGATCCTGTAGTTCTGACTGTTCTCCTGCATCTTTCCCACCCTTTCCTGATGGTGTAGGTGCTTGGGAAAGTGGGAAAGTGCAAGCCACTTCATTTATGGTAGCTGTCACTTTTGCCTTGTACCTGTCAGAATTTGGGGGGTTTTGAGGGTCCTGATTAGGGTTTGCTTGACAGGGATAGATGCATAAATGTTACCCTGTCAAAAACACCATGTTAAAGGAAGCCCTGTTTTGACAGCAAGCTGTCAATTGCATCCGTAAATGGATCAGTATAATTGATTGTGAGACAATATCAGTGATCAACCTCAATGAGTCCTTTCAATAGCAAATTCTGAATAGCACACAGAAACCTAGATTCTAATAAATATTTCAATCGCAAGTATGATTATTCAGCTATAGCAGGAAAATCATATTTGGCACACAAAACTAAGAATGACAAAAACTCATCATCAGCACCCACTAATTAATCCAAGGGAAAAATCAACTCACCCATCCATGTCTGCCACATAAACATTTTCTTACAAATTATTAAAACTTGATTTCCTTGCAGAGTCAACTTAGCATGAAGAAATGGATCAAACTGTAATTGACATATTACATGCTACACCTCTCCAGCTGTCATATTTGTAGAAGGAATCCTATCCATTTTAGAGTTCCACAAATCTAATACCATCCATTCAGAGAAAGGGTAGATACATAAAAATTCCAAAACTGATCAAAGTGAATAATCTAATCTAATTTAGTACTGGCCCACAAAAAAGCCCTATGATATAAAGCAAAATCTGGAAAACCCAACCTGCAGGGAGGATAAATATACAGAACAGAGCAATAAGGTTTTGAAAATGCTTGCAAAGTATAATGTGCTCACATTAGACACATATAATCCTCTGTATTTTATTGTGATTGTGATTGTATTCATCTTAAGTGTGTTACCTTACCCCATCTTTGGAAATATTATTTATTAGTTAGTTTATATTTTTACACTGCCCATCAGCCCAGAGGCTCCCTGAGCAATTCACAAAATTTAAAAAATACAATAATTGATATAAAACAGTCATTGTAATATAACAATAATATAATTAGTATAAATATAATAAAAAATAAAACAATGATTCACCTGCCATGCCTGCAGCTAAATCAATCTAGAGGTATAGTAGTAAAATACAGTAAAAATGGAAATACAAATCTTACTATTAAAATTTTGGGAAAATAAAAAGGTTTTCACCCAGAGCTGGATAGAACAAAGAGTGGGTACCAGGTGCACCTCTTTGGGGAGCTGACTCCACAGATGGGGCGCCACAACCAAGAAGGCCCTTCCCCTAGTAGTCACCCTCCTTGCTTCCTTTGGAGGGAGCTCTTTGACAAGGACCTCTGCTGATGGTCTGAGGGTTCAGGTAGGCACCTACAGAAGAAGATGTTCCTTCAGAAAAACTGGAAATATCCATCTATTTGTATGCTGTGAGATCTCGATAATCTATTTACTCAGATTTAGACTGCTCATTTTCTGGAGTAAGTATTTCCAAATAAACAGTAAGATATGGGCCTCATTAAAATTTCAGTATTGCCACACAGAATACAGTGTGAGATATTGGCATCAGTTCAGATCCAATTGGCATCAATTCAGTCTTTGACCAGTGAACTGTAAAGCAAGACAGATCACCAGACTGTTAATCACCTGCATCAGAGTTGGTGCAGAAGAATAATTCCAAGCATTCCATTTAGCTCTATAGTTACCCTTTCAGATTTCACCCTGAAAGTACTTTGTCCACATAGAAGGGGGCTCAGTCCCTCTTGTGCAGTGCTGGCATACCCAGAACTGAGATCTGGGGACACCCCACTTCACCCCTCTTGTTCTCATAAGGATGGCATTGCCTGCGTTGCTTTGCACACTTACGTGAGAGTAAATGTTGCTCAATGCCATGGGACTTGTCCCCAAGTAAAGAGTTCCCAAGCAAAGGGTAGGTCTGAGTAATTAAACAGAAGCCATTCAGTGTATGTGAACATCTAGGCATTGGGGTGATTTTGCTAGTGAGAAACAGGGTTAGATCTATGTTTATGCTAGAGCTGAAAAGCTATGGTGAAATTAACAGAATAATTGCAGCATGGTTTTCACACTTAATGAGCTATAGCAGTTAGATCCACCTAGAAGAGTTTGCTTGTACGTTCTGAATGGAATGGAAAAAAATGCTAAGATGTTACCAAAACTGTCCAACTTTTTTGTTTCTAGGTATGGCAGTGTGGCGGTAGTGTTGAAGTTCTGCCTTGCTCTAGGATTGCTCACATTGAACGAGCCCATAAGCCGTATACAGAAGACCTGACGACTCATGTCCGAAGAAATGCACTAAGAGTGGCTGAGGTCTGGATGGATGAATTTAAAAGCCATGTTTACATGGCATGGAATATCCCCCAAGAGGTGGGTTTTTCATGAATATTGATGTGCCCATAAAATCTTCATTCCAAGTCCCCATCAAGTTCATGAGTTGCTGGACTGCTCGTTGGGCTCATTTTGGACTTTCCTATTGTCTATGGATTTTTGTGCAAATCTTTCCCTGACAAGCTCAGCTTTTTGAGTGGAGAACAAAGTGCTAACTTCAGGAAAGTGCAAATCTTGATGTGCAGATCAGTTGCTTCAGCAGGTATGAGGATAAGAAAAGAAGAGCCATGCTGGATCAGTCCAGCAAGCCATTCAGACAGCAGCCAACCAGTTACTTACTGGCCAGCCATAGGCTTAGCACCTTCCTGCCCAAGCTCCCCAGGAAATTGTGTACCAAGGCTTCTGATACCAGCGACAGCATATAGCCATCAGGACTAGTAGTCCTTCATAGCCTTCTTTTCCATGAATGTGTCCCTTCTAAGCATAGAAATGTTATAATAATAATAATAATAATAATAATAATAATAATAATAATAATAATAATTCAGATTGATGGGCATCATTACATCTCATGGAGGTGAATGCCATAGTTTAACTATGGCCTGTGGGAAAAAGTGCTTCCTACTATTTGTCCTGGATCTTCGAGCAATCAGCTTCATGGGATGACCCTGGCTTCTGGTATTATGGAAGTTGGCAAAAATGCTCGTATCCCTATCTTCTCCACACCATGGACAACTCTGTACACTTCTATCGTATGTCCCCTTACTTACCTTTTTCCTAACCTAAACCATCTCAGCTGTTGTAACCTTGCCTCTTAGGAGCATTACTCCAGTCCTTTGATCATTTTAGTTGTCCTTTTTTCATTTTTTTCCAGTGAATAAATACTGGATGGAACACATTTCCCACCCATCCCTACTTTTAAGTAACTTAGTGGTCTAGAATGGGAAGCATTTTTATTGATAAATAGAAATCACGTGACTAGAGATGTCTTGCTTTATTGTACCTCTAGCTAACCAACTTTGATAAATCAACTTTTCTGTGAAACCAGCACTGCACATTCCCTTAAATCAACTTTCCACTGTATATCAAGCAGACATTTTTATTATTCATTATCTTCACCTTCACTGCTGCTGGCAGGAGTGTAATCAGATCTTTGTGAAGTAGATTTGCATCTGTAAATATTGACAAAACAAAGAACATAGAAGTACCATCAATAAATGGAGAAAATGTTGGTTCTACCTTCCAATACTTGTCCTAAATAAAATTATTGACAGTTAGTTTAAATCTTTCATGACACCAGAGGAATCCTAGCAGAAACTCATAGCTGAGTCAAAAATCATTCATTTGACTTCTGGCAGAAAAAGGTGTGTGCAATCGAAGGAACATAACTTCTGTTTCTAGACTGAAGTTTAAACAGAGGACTTGGCTTTACACTTATAGGTCCTTGACTGCAAAATTATTCTGCTTTAGATATATATTGGACATAAAGGGTTAAGATAAAACAAAATTCAACCAAACCTAATGACACACACTTTTGCATCATAGAAAGGAAGGTAAATTGGGTCCAGGTACAAGAAATTACAACTATAATTTCTAGGATTTAACCTCTTGTGTCCCTGTCCATCTGTGGCAGAAATAATGTTCTGTTCAATGTGCTTGAATGGAAGACATGACTCTGCTTCATCATAAAGTATTTTTAAGCCCAATGATTATTAATTATACTGGAACTGAAAAAATGTGAATTTTCTGATATGTATATTGTAATTGCTTTTACTGAACTATGGAGGTATCCTATAAAATAATTATTTCAGCCCACCCACATGAAATAGTTTTGATTTCTCATACATTTAAGGCCACCTAAACCAGCCATCACAGGACACCTTCTTCTGAGTATGGATGTGCCATTCTCCATCTCCTGCCTGCAGGATACCCATCTTCCCAACTTTCCCCTGTTGTGCTGGAGTTGTGCTGCCATCAGCACTGAGCGCACGTGGAAAGCGCTCCTGTGCAGCGGCAATTTTCTCCAAGATACTGTGAACCTAAAAAGAATAAAAATCTGATCCTTTTTTCTGGGAGGGTCGAAAGACTGTAGGCATTTATTACCTGAACAAGGTTCTCTCTTTAATCTACTGAATGATAATATTTTTATGCAAAGTTTATTTATTCAGTATTTTGTCTGAGTGTTTCGAGCTGTGTGCAAGGGCATAATCTACAGTAAAAATGTCTCATTTTACTTCCTGTCAGATGCTGGTCCTGAATTTGCATTTAGATGCCTCTCTAGAAATCTCTGCTGTGTAGCTATAATGAGATAAATTATTGATCTGCACTTACAGGCTCTTTATGGAACTCGTGTATTTTGAACTCCACAAAACTGTGTTAGACCAGCCAAGGCTTAACCATAAAATGTAATAAAAGGAGGAAGGGGAGGTAAAGAGATTTGCAAATGCATTTAATAGAAACGATCATGGAAATGCTTCTCTCAACATTTAAAAGGGCGGGGGAGGGGGGAGGTGGACAGCCGACAATTGAAAAAAAGTGAGCAGGATGTTTCATCTTTGCAGTGAAACAAGAAAGAGAGCAAGTGGAAGCTGTAAACTAGGGCCATGGCTTTGCCAGCAGAAAGATGATCTCCTAGACAACTCACTTTGTACTTGTTTCTTTGTTTGCTCACTGGATTTATTTATCACTGAAGGCAACTTGGTACCATGTCATACAATTTGCTTTGGAATCTGGAAATTGATTTAAATAAATTATTGCTATGGAATTTCATTCAAAATCCATTAAAGCCAGTACTCTGTCATCTGCCGACTGGGAAGGTGTCTGCATCAAGCCCCTGGATCAAAACTGATGGTTTTTAAAAATCTTTTAATACACTTGCAAAAATAACCTATTTGCTTAAGCTAAAATGTCAAGTGATATCTGGAAGCAAATTGTGTTAGTCTCTGCTCAGTGCATAACCCTATGTTGCTGCATTTTTTGGAATGCTACAAAGCAGTGCAGGGAATGGCAAAATAAACAGTTTGGGAGTGGGAAGAATGGCTTTACATCTCTGTCATGTTTTTTGGCTCATGTGCACAGGATTCCGGAATCGACATTGGTGATATTTCTGAGAGGAAAGCCTTGAGGAAAAAGCTGCAATGCAAGACCTTTCGGTGGTATCTTGTCAGTGTGTATCCGGAAATGAGAATGTACTCAGACACCGTTGCCTATGGGGTGGTAAGACTCTTCTTCTCTGTAGCTTGGTCCTTCACAGTAAACAGGAAACATTCCCATTTATATATTAACTGTTTTGATAAGCTGCCCATACAATTATGGGTCAAACACTGTAGTTATTTGAAAATTGAGCAATGATCCAGTACGATGTATGCAAAAACTGAAAAACAGAAAGGTACAAAACCAACATGGTATCAATGCAGAACAAAAGCCGGTAAAAATACAATACAATGTGCCCCTGATTGACATTGAAATTGTTCTGGCATGCCAATTGTTCTTTCAGGTAAAAACCTCAGGATAAACTGTGGATCATTTATTAACTGACAATCTAAAGATTACTTGATACAACACAACCTTCCAATATTCTGGACTACAGCTCCCATAGTCTCTGGCCACTGCCCATTCTGGCTGGGTGTTGTAGTTTGAAACATCTGGAGAGTACTGGTTTGCCAGCCCATTACAGAAGCTGACAGTGCTACTCTAATGTGTATCTGGTTCTGCCTCCATTTACGTGGTGGTTTTTCTAAAATAAAAACGTGTCTGACTGTTCAGAATGTGTTCATTAGAAATGTGCATGTATCCTGCATCGGCAAAGAGAGGCTTGTAAAGACTTGCCTGCTTGAGGCATGGAATAATTTTCCCTTCAGGAAGCAGAAAAGTGTTCAAAAAATGGACCTTCTCATACTCATTTTTAGGCTGCAAAGGACTGCCATTGTATACATGGGCAGCCAGGTTACTGAAGTTCTTGTGAGCATATCTTCAGTGCTAAATGAATGCATTAATACCCTCTGTTTCACCTGGCCACAAAGATCACTGGTTGACTTTGGGCCAGTCACACACAGTCAGTCTAGCCTACCTCATGGGAGAAAACACAGAAGAAGAGGATTGTGTAAATGCAGAATATAAGAATACAATTAAGAACAGAAAGCTTACTTCAGCTAAAATACTTTCACAGCATCCAGAACAAAAACCTCAAATGCAGCCAAAGGTTTGGTGAAATAAACATGGGAGAGTAGTGACATCCACGTCAGTGGTGCTCCTTATCCTCCGCAGCTTTTATTTCGGACTTATCCATGTGGTCGTGAACCTGTTTTGGGAGTGAGTGTCATGGATAGCTTTTATAATGCTCAAAATAAAAGCTGCAGTGCATAAGGAGCCACAGTGGTGCAGAAGTCACCAGCCTCCTCCAGAAATAATAAAAAGTTTTCACAGTTTGCTAGAAAATCACTGGGAAAAGCAAACCCAGGAGGTTTGGGAAAATCAGACCTCCCAGGGAGAGAATTCCATGGTTGGGGCATCCAACTGTCTTGCCTCACAACGAAACCTACCTTCAGTGGCATGGGGATATGAAGCATAACCTCAGATGAGAAGAGCAACATGGTCCATGTGCTCCTTCAGAAAAGCCCATCTCCAGCCATTTATAGCTTTGTGGGTAGTGGCAGCCACACTGCCTTCAGCCCAGAAATGGATGAGAAGTCAGCACTAGTTTAAGAAAAATAGAATCATAGGAGCATTCTTGAACCTTCAGACCATTCTCTGGGTGCTGCATTTTGCATCAGCAGAATTTCCTAAACATCTTTCATAGGAAGCCCCTTGGAGTAATCTAATCTTAATGTAATCAAGAGCTAAACTACATGGTACATTGACTATGCAATGTGTGGGCGATTATCATTTTTTCCTTTAATATAAGTACGGGATGAATTTAAAGGGACAAAAGTGCCCAGACGGGAAAGTTCAACTGCTCTTTATGAGTGGTGAGTGCAAACCAGGCTGGGGCATTGTAGGAGTAGACAAAAGTAGCACTTATGATTGCTTATATGATACACATTTAGCATAGTATATAAATCTAGCAACTGTAGATTAAATACTGTAGATCAGCAACATGAGTGACATTTCATGTTGATTAGGCAATGATCAGACAGGGCTGCTTTCTGTAGGAATGAGTACAACTGGCACACCAAGGAATCTATCTGCAAACTCTTTCAGCAACAGATACTTCCTAACAATTTAGGAGACAAGTGTGTGCATGGAGAGTGCAGTCCATTCCAGAGAGATTGTAAATGTAACTCTGGACACCCATAAACATCTTGTCCTCAAAAAAGATGTTGACCCTTAGCCTAGGGAATCCTCTGCTAGATAATGCTTGGTAACTTTAACATCTGTTCATTCAAATTCCATGTAAAGGTCATTGCATTCCACAGCTTCACAGTTTCCACACTCAGTCAGCACATAAGGAACAGATGGGATATAGCTCAACATTAAAATACAAGGAAGATGTCAGCAGGGTGTTTTAGCTAGTAGAAAAGTCTTAGTCTTACAATTACAATTAATAAAAAGTAATGGTTGTTCTTAGAACGCTAGTCAAAAGTATGTTTCATCATATTATATTTAATTGGATGTATGTATGTTTGGGATTGTAGACTGAGATGGGCACCTGCCACCATAATCCTGTTTCAGATAGTTTCTTTTCTCACTATCAGAAATCTAAAGTTAGCCCAGTATCTCTTAAAAATAGGTAAGATTCCCACTTAATGGGAAAAAGTCTTTTGTAAGAATGATGTTTAAGGACTTTTTGATAACAGATAAAAATAGGGAAAAATAAGACTATGCCAGTAGAATAACCAAGTTTGTGTGACAACTAATTGGATTAATCTAGCATTTATTTGAGAGGCATAACTTAAACATTCAGGTCAGCAACGGTATCAACTGTGCCAGGTTTCCCAGAGCCATTCATAGGAAAACCTGAACTACTAAAGGGTGCTGTGCAAACTGTGAAAATGTGTCGACGTGGTTAAGATCAGCAGTGAACACTACAGTTCTTCTACTCACCGATTGTTCTTTTGTCACATGGCATGTGTTGCTTTCATAAATTTAGTTGAGGTGGCCTCTGCTCTAGTTTTATTAGAGCAATCTTTGGAAATCGGCCAAGCTCTCACTGGTGTCCTTCCAAGGAATTCCACTGTGTTCAGGGGATTTGTTCTCACACCGAAGAGTTTAGGATTAATGAGGACATTTCGACCTAATTTCATGGTGGTGGTGGTTCTTTTTAGGAAACAGGGGCCTTCTAAAACATAGGAACCCTTCTTACACCTATCATATCTTTGGATCCTCTAGCTCATTATTGTCAGCAATAATGCTGCAGTGGTTTTCCAGGGTTTCATGGAGGGATGCCTTATATATGGTTTTAGAAAGGGATTGGAGAAATTCATAAAGCTGCATGGAATCAGTTGCTGTCTTCCATGACTGCTACATACTAGGTGAAGGGCCAGGAACATCATGCCTTTGAATACCAACTCTTGGGAAACAACAGTGAGAGAGCACGCTCCTGCCTTGTCCTGCTTCTGAGTTTTCCAAGAGGCACCTTGTTGGCTACTGTGGAAACAAGAGGCTGGCCCAGAGAGACCATTGTACTGGTTCAGCAGTGCTATTATGTTCCTACATGCCTTGAGGTTCCAGGGATTGAACTTGGAATCCTTTGTATGCAAGGATTCATACCATTCCAACTATGGCATCCATCCTAAAATTAATTATGGAAATTTATGGATGTAAAGTTTCTCGTCCCATTGGGAAAATTTTGGAACCTCAATTAAAAGTCCACAATTCTTCTGGAAGGTTAAGGCAGTTTGGCCACCTAAGAGGCCAAGAACAGGAACAGTTCTATTTTATTGATATAGTTGTAATCAGATAAAATATGTGCCCTATTTTAATATGATATTCTCTCTTTTGGCCTCTGTTTTTCCCTTCTCTATATTCTCTAGCTGCAGAATTCCCTAAAAAGTGATTTGTGCCTTGATCAGGGGCCAGACACAGAAAATATTCCAATCATGTATATCTGCCATGGAATGACACCACAGGTTAGTGAGACTAATGATCTTGTATCTTGCTGCTGCTGCTGCTAGTGGGATGTGTGGGAGGAACCATATTGCAGCTGACAATGTTTTTTTCCCTACTACAATTCCTCCCTGGACTGTTTATTAGATATTCTATAGTAAGTGGGAGCATTATTTGTGCCATGATGTTAAGAATCACTGGTCTATTAATTAGTGCCTTGTCAAGAAGCCTCATTTATTCACTCTAGAAGAACTGAACAAAAGAATGAAACAGGGCTACATTTACCAAGAATGGTTGGCATGGACCTCTATTATTGATCTTTTTAAACAGGATCCTTAATGTGAATGCAACGGCAGGACATTTGTCTCTTGCACGGCTATTCTTTTAAATTCTAGGAATTTGCTTTTGAAAAGCATTTGTAAACTCCTTGAGGTGATTTTTTTTAATGCACACACCTTCCAAGAAATTCATTTCTATTTATATGAAATAAATAAGGCTCTGTGGCTCTTTCCATTCTTCAGAGAAACAGCAAAGCTCCAGAACCAAACTGGTCCCACTGTTTAATATTCTGCTACCCTGTGGAAGGATGGGATGCAGTCAGGTACCCGGTTCCCATGCTGGTGTTATTTCTAGCACTGTCCTGTGTGCCTTGAAGTGTGCAAAGGACTAACTCAAGGAGTAAATTATGAAGGGACTGCCAGGTAGACAGTGAGACGGGAGGAAGGAGAGCCAGAGGAACGCTAGCTCCGTTTTCAAAGAGCTGCACCAGTGATGTATAAATAACAAGGGGGCACCACGTAGTGTAGCTGCAGACACACACCTCCTCCTGAGCCTCTTGCTAGGGAAGCCATGGAAACAGCCGACTTGCCGAGAACTCTTTCTGCACCTGACCCTTCGGAATGAGTATAACTTAGCACTCTGAGGAGTCATTCAAGGGCAGCTCCTTGCAGTTCTTGTTCCTGCAGAGATTTGAGAAAGTAGCTTTGCATTAAGCTGTGCACAAGGGTTTAAATGTAAGAGGAAGCTGAGCAGCGTTGGTGGCTTGCAGGATGTAATCTGTGATGCATATGCACTCATATTGCATAGTTACCGTCTTCACCTTACCTTTAGAATATGGGAAGAGATCATTTGTTGCCTGCTCTCAGAAGTTTAAATAATATAACAATGTATTGTAGTAGTAGTGATAAAAAGGTCATGATTTAATAATGTTATTTCTAGTAAGAAGTATCTAATAAAAGAGTCTGGTATGGTAGCTTTATCCCAGAGTATGTCATAATAATAGGAAAAATGCTTCTACTTTAATGCAAGTATTTCATCATACCTTATTCTGTGGATTTTAATTTTATATTGTCCATGCATCTGCCAACTACATTATTTGATTGTTCTGCAAAGGAGGATCATTGTATTTGAGATGGCGTAAACAAATGTATACCAAAGAGAAAGAAGGAGCTTTTCTTACTTTGAAAGTTGGTGCAAGCTGAAGTCTATTTTGCTCAGATTTTGTACTCCATGAGAAGCCATGTGAGTTACATTTTCACCTCTAGTGAAGTTTGCCTTCTTTTACTGACTGCCTTTAATATTGATCACACTGGGTGGGGGCACACTTGAATAAATCATGTATGGTGAAGAGGAAGATCTCGGAGGGCCTTGTCCACCCTGCTTACATGCTGAACAGGCTGGAGCTTATTCCCTTGTCCACGCTCCCACCACAACACACATAATTATACTGATAACCAGCAGCTGCCTGTACAAGCTCTACAACCCAGAAAGAGAGTTTCTCCAAGTAACTAACTTCCTCTTGTTACTGAGAGGCATTATTTTCCACCTTCTGGGAATTTTCTGTAACTCTGTTTTGCTGTGTCATTTAGCTGAAGCACAGTTCTGGAAATACACTGTTGCAAATTCCAATTGAAATTATAGTACAGAGGCACACAAAATGCTTCCCTCACAATTAGCATCATTTTAACCTTGACAGAACTATGCTGGAAGCTAGTTTTAACAGTGTCATTGAGACAATCCTGAAATGCCTTGGTACTATAAAAGACAGTATTATAAAATCTTTCTAGGGTGAAAGTTTAGCTCTGTATCTTATTGGTCTTCTGAAACGGCCCTTGGTGGTGTTGGGCAGCCTTCTTTAGTTTAGTTTTTCTGTGTTGGACTACAATTTCTGTTGTGAATTATGGAAGTTGTAGTCCATCATATCTGGAGATGGCCAGGTGGGAAAGGCTGGGGCAGGGGAAAGCCCTTTGATTATCAGATTTGACATAGGATGAATAAGGCCATTCAGATCTGTTCAAATTAGTATGACGACCCATACTGGATGAGGTAGCACTTCATTTAAGATGCACTTCAGTATGGTTTTGCTTGTGTAAGAAAGTCAGAATGTTGCCCATTCAGTAACATAATAAACTGAACCCAGTTACCCAGCTGGCTTAGGGCACATTCCTCTGCTTTCCTACTTGTTTATCTCCTGCTGTTAATCACTAGACAGTTTGCAGTACCTCTCAGATGCATTGATAATTCTTTCTCATCACTTCAGTGGTTATTAGGCGATGTTATGTTGCACTTTTTCCTGTGCACCTGAACAGGTGGACCCTTCACTAGTAGGTAGTGATTTGAGGAGAAGTGATGGTGAACTGGACTTTGTATGAATGTTACAGCCACAACAATTTCTGCAGCTAAGCCATGTGGGAGAAGTGCTAACATTTGCTTCTGACTGTATCTTTGTGCTTCATATACCATGCTGACTTTTTTCCCCCCAGGGGCTGTGCACAATAACTACTCTGAGTTGCTCGTCTGTTAGGAAAAAGCAGTCCAAGATGTTTTTTCCTAAGTATGTCACAGATGGGTTGTGCTCTGTGAATCTTCATTTGTCCACGTTTGGTGGGGTTGAAAGCAATGTAAGAATGCTCCTACCGTCTGTTCCTTTCTTGCAGCTTCCCAACCCATTCTGGAAACGATGGAAGCCCCAGTGCAGGAAGCAGGAGAGGGGTTCTCTCCTTCTTTTCCAGAGCTTGATAGCTTGCAGCATGCAGCCATTACTCAATGAAATTGGAATGGTGGGAAACAAACACAGCCTAGGTATAGTCCAAACCCTTGTCAGGTGCTTTTCATTCCATTGTCCACTCATTGACAGAATCAGATTCGACACAAACACATGTGTGTTAAATCACACTTGCTTAAATTTGCATGCCTGAAAATGCACAAATTCCCCCAATTGCATATTATGACATTTTATAAAAGAAATGTACATTTGTGGCTTTTTAAAATTATTTTTCTATGACTACATTGGCTTAAATTACAGAAAATAGGAAAGATAGTCTGCAGAATCTGCATGACTCAGGAAAAGCTGATCTACTGTAGAATCAATGAGCTGGGTTCTTACAGATGTGAACTCATTTGAGCCTGCTGTGGATTCTCTGACATCCTTATTTCTGTGCATGTGTTTCCCAGCTGTAGCCCAACGGGAGATAGAGGCTGTGAAGTCCTAGCAACTCCAAAGACATTATTTGGGGTCTCTCTGTCCATAGATGCAAATAGGGGACAGTAAAAGCACCAGGCCCTTGTTATATCACATTGGGAAGGGAGATGGGGATCTAGCATGAGGGCACATCTCATTCTCTGTTCAGATTCTGAGCTCAGCACCATTCATGGCAAAGATTGCATGTCTTGTGGTAGATCTGTGTGTAGGTATTGGGCCCACTCCTCCAATAATACAGCCTTTGAAGGTTGTTGACTCAGATTCTGATTCCAATGTGGAAGTGGGAGCAGGGTTGGAATTTGCAGCTGAAATGCCAAGAATAATGCCAGGCAGTAGCTGAGAAACAGACAGTTGCAAGTTCAGTGGGAAATTCTAGTGGGCAAGTAGAAATAGGTGGGTGAGGACTTAAATTATCATCAGTCCAATCATATGTCCTGGTTTAAGAGGGCATGCCTGGTATTCCAGCTGATTGGCCCATAAGCAGAGTGATCCACCTGGAAGTTGGAGTCAGCTCGATTTGGTTTGCAAGGGAGGAGAGGTATTCAGTTTAGAATCAACATTAAGCTACATTTCCCTAATGGAAAGTATTCTAATTTCATTTGTTACTGATATCTCCAGTACTCTTCTTGTCTCATAAAGTCAGCCTAGCTAGTCAGCTTTAACATAAAAAGACCATAGCTAGGAAGCCTTCTGCCCTGATCTGCTTCAAGACTGGCTCACAACACTGTGGCTTCGTGGTCCCAGATCAAAGCTGGTCTGAATCATAGGCAAGTATTCTATGCTTTGCTTAATAGATATGCATCAGGGTATTTATCTCATTCATTGTTTGTCCCGAATTTTAGAAAGCATTGTTAAGCAATGCCTATTAAAATACTTAAAACTGTGCTAAATAGGAGCAGGTTAAACATATGGTAGTTTAATTGCAGAAAAGGCAAAAATACTTTTCAGAGGGATATGTGAATTAAAGGACAGGTTTTGGGGAGAATATTTAAGAGAAGGTAGATGAACATTTTACATAATTGTAGTGGATGCACATTGGGTCAAGCTGTGTGACCCAAATGTTAAATCATCTGATGGTGAACATGACCCATGAAATATCAAGTAGCTATATAAAGTCCTTGAAATGTGGTATGTATGAGATGCCACTATTGAGAATATTGTTGTGAATTTGTGTATTATTTTGCAATTAGCTAGGATTTATGGAAACACAGCAGTGAAAAGAGAGTACGTTCAAAAAGTTGCTTCTCTTTATACCCTAGTTTTCAAAATTAATTAGTTCTGGATGAAAACAACATGAAAATAGAAGTACCGGGAAGAAGGATATTTATTCCTTTTGCCATCAAGGTTTTTTCCCTTCTTTTTCATCTACAGGGAACATTTTCAATTTTGTAGGGCAAGTATTTATAGAACCAAATTACTAGACCAAATTTAATTGGAGGGAAAGTTGGTTTTCTCAATAGATGGTGACATGTAAGAAAAGGATTATTTGGGCTACCGATTCTCAGTTGATGGCTTGAATCTTTCCAATGGAGATTTTGGCAC